ATTCAGAGTTGATTGTTTTACCTTTCTGCAGATAATCAAGCCCTAAAATTAATATTGCATCCCAAAAAACTGTTGCCATAACCTTCTTTGCTGATGGTTGTGACTTCACCTGCTTTGGAGCTGTTGGTGAAGCCCACTTTAAATGTTTTTGTTTCAATTTAGGATCATGGTGGTTGATCCAAGTCTCATTCATAGTTATAAAACGACGCAAGAAAAATACTTTGACACGTCAACTTCAAATGACTTGTAACTTTGCATGTGTTCTCAGGACAGATGTACCAACTTGAAAAAAAAAAATCGGAGCTAGTAGTGCTATTTCTTGGTGAGACCAACTAACTTTTAAACCAGCCTATAGAAGCCTTCATTCATGTTTTTATTTGTTAGGTGATGAGGCTCCATTCAGCATCATATAAAATGTTTAGGCTGCCCCCAAATTATTTAGTATATGTAGGTCCTTGACAGACTTTGCAGAAAGTAAGAATTTTAAACTATAAGGAAAGTGTTACTCTCTTTAAATTTTAGTTTTTTTCTCACTATTTTTCATACGTGCCCATAATGACTTTTTAGCGAAGAGAAGCTCAAAACGATCCCACAGAGGCTCTTAGAGGGTTAACATTTTTCGAAAATTTATTTTAGAACAAAATTTATATGTAATATTGAGAAAAATACCCACATTAACTAGAATTTTGTACACGTTTTTTATATTATTAACTCCATGCGTGAAAAAAGTTATGACGCGATGGAGGAAACCGTGACCAAGTCTTAAGAGATTTATATCAAACCTTATACAATCGTCTCAAATTAGTGAGGTTGGCCTTAAAATACAAATTTCATATACCACAATAACATTTATAAACATAAGTTTCATTTTTTTGATCTTTGATCTATTTGTACTTGTGATCTCTAACCGACAACAACAAAAGTCAAATTTAAATATATTTTTTTAGATGTTTCTTTTGGCTACTGTCTTGCTTCCTTACTCACTGTTGACTGTTCATATCACTTAGTTAATCTTTTCGGTTAGTTTGTTATTTATTTCAGAGCTGTTTCGCGTTTTCGTTTCAGCGTATTGTGTGAATGAATGAGGATCCCAAAAATATAATATGCACATATTGACACATATATATACTTATGCGCATATGTATGGTATATATGTATACACAAGTATTATTAAATACATACAAGTAAGCTGTTTTCATTGTGTTAAAATTGTCAGCTTGGCTTTGATATTTCGCCGCCATTAGCGTTTTCAAAGTGGCGGATAATTTTTTAAACATTTGAGTAATATTTATATAAGATAAACATATGTATAATGGTATATGAAAATGCTTATAAATTTTTAACGGAAATGGCACATTATTTTTCGGTCTTTAAAAGATCTTCTATCCTTCCTTCCTCTAAGCAAATTTAAATGTAATAATCTGTTGGTGAAATATGACAGCTTTTTTTTGTCTTTTCTTTTACGGGAGCATAGTTGCTTTGGAGGAAGGTGGTATATGTAAGGGCTTCTTCCTGGCTTAACCTTACATCTTCCTGTAAGCAAATTTAAATGTTGCAGTAGGTTAGAAAAATATGTCATTTTTTAATTTTTCGATTACTTTCGATATAACGGCGTATAATATCAGAAATTTTTTTGGAGATTTAAGAGAAAAGAAATGCAATTTTTAAGTAAAATAAGCTGTTTTCCAAGAAAGAGTCTTACCTAACCCTAAGTGTGTCTGGCGTAGCCTAACTTGCTTAAAGATAACTGTGGAATGTGGTAAAATTATTCTCCTACTCGGGAGGATTGTATTCATTGATATAAAAACAAAAACTTTTCAATTAGGAAAGGAGTTAAAAATATAGCGTTTTAGTTGTATATATATTCATAGAGAAAAATTGTGGTAAGTCGAAAATTTTCTATGCTTCAAAGCTAAAAGGTATCGAAAATTTCTCAAAATGTTCAACAATATATATATTTATACGATTCGATGAAGAATATGATACGTATCTAGACGTCTAGTCTAATAGAGCAAAACAAAGCTATGTCTGTGCACTTATAAATTTCAAAGTTAAGAAGCCATAAAAAATCTGCTCCAAAAGTCAGAAGACGGTTAATATTCTCTTAATATATGGTACTTCAACTCCCCAGATGGGACCAAACATAACAAACAGTTTCTGTTCTTCAGTTCTTAATGAAAGTTAACTAATTTTGTTTGTTTGGAAACGTAGATTTTCAGAAACTCTCCCATTTAAACTTAGTACTCACTGATATCAGAGATATAGTAGAGAGTAACCAAGTCACTTGCTGGACTCAGAATCCAAAAAACCAACATAAAAAATCTGAAACAAGACAAAAAACACGTCACTCCTAGAAAACCATTATTATCAAGAGCTAAACTCGAAAATATCTCAATGAATAAGACAGAGTTTTAACTGGAACTAAATTAGCTGTTTGAACTACAATGCTTAAAATGCTGACTAAGGTTAGGTTAGAGCGCTGATACCTCAGCGGGGTCATACTTGGGCTGTTATGTAGAGTGCTTTGTGTAGCCAAATGGAAAATCCTGTAATGGGATATCAGCTATCGGCATAATAAATGTAGGGATATATTACGCTTTACAAAAGCGGTTCCGACTGAGCAATAAGAGGCAAGCATCCGAGTTTCTGTTTGGAATGTCGAAGGTTCCCTTAAAAAGAGTCAAAACTTGTTATTTTGTCGTCCTCTTGTCGATGAAAACAGACTTTATAGACGGTATACTCAGTACTCTACATATATGAAAAAAGCTTGACCAAGTAACTAGCAGTAATGTTAGAACATATTATATATTATAAAACTCCTTGAACCAATATACATTATTTGTGCAATTCCTTTAATTTAAACTCAATCCTGTTTAAAAACTTCATTCTTTACTTATTCAACCTTTGCTTTATGTGTTCCATGAAACTACTTACACGCGGGATCTCGAATTCCACAAAACTTCCAACTTGTTTATGGTGCTCCTGCAACATATTCAATTTCCATTAAGATGTTCTATAACTTTATGATATTGCACGTATGCACGCAACAAAAAACATACAACAACAATAGAAATCATATGGGTAGCGCGCATGCGTTGTGACAATATCGGCCGGTTGCGATCGGTTAACGATTTTGACAAATCACAAACGCCAACACGATCGCCAGCAAACAAGCAGAAAGTCAAAGAGCAAAATGAGTAAAAATAATTGAATGGAGGAAGCACAAATAAGAGCGTGTGAGCATGTCAACCACAACTGTTTTTTTGCACACGGTTATTACTTATTTTTTGAGCGGTCTCAACGATTTCGATCTAAAATGCACAAATCGTTCATTTTTTCGCTTGACACGCCGCGGAGCGGTTGCCTTTATGCAAAGCTTCGGTCCGAAAAAAGTAACAACCAACAAAAAGCCAAACAGTCTACGAAGCGTGTCTTGGAGCGACTACGACGGCTGTCAACAGCTGTTATAGCTGAGGTGGTGGTGGCGTTGGCGTTCGTGGTGGCAGCGTTGGCGGCATTTCTCTGATGCTCACACGCATACGCGCCACGACGACATTTTTATGATGCTGACGCTTTGCGTTGTTAATTTGTTGCGCATTGCGCTTGCCACGAGAGCGGCAAGACGACTCAGCCTAAGCTGCTTCTTTCCACACTCGGTATTGGTTACGTTGGCACATCGTGCTCGCTTGCTGCGAACGTGTGTTGCATACATAAATATGATATGTGTAAATATTTCATAAAAAATAAAAATCGTTATGAAAATGCAGCGATATGCTTGCTTAGATAAAACGTGTGACGTTTTTGTGAAGTTTAGACACGAGCGCCGATCCTTCAAAAAATATAACGAAGCACAAACGACACTGATATCGCAGATTTGCATTGTGACAACATGTGTCCAATACTTGAGTATTTCAGTACTTGTGAAACCACCCACTGGGCTTTTGATTTTTGGTGAGCTTTCACTGATCTTTAGGTCCAGCATCCATTAAAATTTGTACTTAAGTAGCTTTTACTAGAGCTGGTACTCCGTCCTTAAGCAGCTTTAATTTACACTTCACTGATCTTCCACTCTTATAAATTATTTTATTTTTTTAAGGGAATTCAGTGATCTTTCAATAAGCTTTCGATCCAGCTTCCATTAAACTTCGTACTTAGAGAGCTTTTACTCAAACTTTTCTGGTACTATATCATTACACAGCTTTACTAATACTCTAATTTTAAAGAGCTTTTAATCTCTTTAGAGTTATACTAGCTTTATTGATACTCCTATCGGATTTAATTCTAATGAAACTTAATCGAGTCAAATGTTACCTACTTCTGATAATTCTTTATATTTAATTTTAAATTATGTGACTCAGTAGCTGCTGGTGTATTTCAAAGGCGATCGAAGTTTTCGACAACTTTTACTCTTTTGAACGAATTAACACTCGAGAGCTAAATTCAAGAAAATTTCTCTTTTTATTCCAAAAATTCCTCCGATCTTTAACTAACAGAGAGGCTCTTCTAAAGTAAATTTAATTATTGCGCCGAGACCAAGCCTCTCTCCAACTATCTCCCTCTAAACAATTACATAAAGTACTCTCGATGCAGAAGAAGTCGTTAAGTGTGTATCTCGGATTATAGAGACAATTGTTGCTGTGTGAAAATGCTATAATATACAGTGGATCACAGCTTATTTGATACAGCAGTCGATATAAATTTCGAATCCTAATATTTTCTAAATTGAAAGGAATATTGAAAAAATTTAAACGCTATATTATAGAGTAAAGAATTTCATATATATAATCTACTTCATTTATTTCAAAAATATTTTATTTTCAAATATATGTATATAAAATTAGAATTACTGCTTAATTTCAGGTCACAGCTTATTTGATACAGTTCAATTCATTCTAAAATAACATAAACAAATCACTTTCCATCTTAAATTTTAATATTTTGTGTGAAAGCCTTTCGCCTTAACAAGAGCCTGGATCCTGGTTGGCATTGATTGGACTAACTTTTGTGTGGTTTCTGGGGTAATTTTCTGCCATTCCTCTAGTAGCGCCTTTTTCAATTCCTCTTTGTTCGAAATTTTGTGGCTTCGAAGGTTTTTGTCTAATAATGCCCACAAATTTTCAATAACATTCATATCAGGTGACTGTGCCGGGGGTGTCATCAAATGGGGACAGTTCCATATGAGCCAGGATTGAGCGACTGCTGCTTTGTGTTTTGGGTCGTTATCTTGATAAAAGCGGAATTTTTCTTTTATATCAAGATTCTCGGCACTTTGCAGCAAATTCCTTCTTAGGATATTAAGATACATATTTTTGTCCATTGTCCCTTCAATAAACTCCACATTTCCTACACCGGCTGCGGACATACAACCCCAGACCATCACAGTTCCACCGCCATGTTTCACCGTAGCTCTCAAGTTCTCCTTATTTAGCTCTCTATTCTTTTTTCGCCAAGCGTAAGACATGCTGTCGGACCCAAAAATATTGAATTTTGACCCGTCTGAAAATATAACCGTGTTCCAAAAATCATGGGTCTTACAAACATGTTCCCGAGCGAACTTTAGTCGACATAATTCTTTTCTTTTTTTTTTTACTAATTACTCGGCCATTAAAATCATGTTCGCGGAGTACGCGGCGGATAGTTTCAGCATGCATGTTTTCCTAATTCTTGCTGAACATCTACAACCAATTTTGGAGCCGATAGTTTGGGGTTTACCTTGATTTTTCGAACAATATAGCGCTCGTCGGTAGCACTAAAAATTTTGTTTGGCGCGCTTCTGCCTTTATTTTCCAATCGATTTTCATGTAAATATCGCTCAATGATGTGATGTACAGTGGAGGCACTAAGGTTCACAATTTCACCAATTTTTCGAACCGATTTACAATTTTTAAAATGGTTTATGACCAGTTCACGCTGCTCAATTGTTGTTACTAGAGGAATGGCAGAAAATTACCCCAGAAACCACACAAAAGTTGGTCCAATCAATGCCAACCGGGATCCAGGCTCTTGTTAAGGCGAAAGGCTTCCACACAAAATATTAAAATTTAAGATGGAAAGTGATTTGTTTATGTTATTTTAGAATGAATTGAACTGTATCAAATAAGCTGTGACCTGAAATTAAGCAGTAATTTTAATTTTATATACATATATTTGAAAATGAAATATTTTTGAAATAAATGAAGTAGAATATATATATGAAATTCTTTACTCTATAATATAGCGTTTAAATTTTTCCAATATTCCTTTCAGTTTAGAAAATATTAGGATTCGAAATTTATATCGACTGCTGTATCAAATAAGCTGTGACCCACTGTATATTAACCTCTTTCCCTTCTTCTTCTTGGGCATTACACGCGTGGGTCGTTCGTTTTGCACTTGGTCGTTCCATTAATTGCGTAGGCGCTATTGCTTCCATTGGATGGATCTCGAATGGAAGAGCTTTTCGCTGGGGCATCATCTTCTATGCGAACGATGGCCTAACCAGCGCATTCGTTGAATATATTATACGGTTAGCTATATCCATGTCGCCGAGGAGTCATACAGGTTGTGATTCCATCCTTTTTGATAAGAATCGCAGATTTGGACGGCTCCAAAGACCTTGCGGAGAACAGGTCTCTCGAATGCTCCATGTATTTCTCTCGAATGCTCCATGTATTTTTCACATTAGTAGCTGCCAACAATAACGTAGTTCCTAATACGCGAAGATTATTTGTATGTGGTCTCCAGGTATTTTGTCTTGCTCTCTTTCACCGCAAGATCAATCTCCTTGGCTTTTTTTCTAATCTGGAAAAGGCTGCGCTGACGGCTATGTTGTTAAGGACTGCATACTCCAGTAGTATTGTATTTACTTAAAGAAGTCATGCGATAGAGAATCGTCTGGTATCGAACGGCTTGGAGTGCTCCTTCCCATTTTGGACGGAGCTGATGTTAGTGCTCAACGTCATACCAAATTTATACATGGCCTCGAATTGGCAACTGGTTGATGCTTTCAAACGAGAGTCATTAGAGGGGATTTATCGTATTATCATAATCTAGTCTAGGGTGGATCATTGAACTTTTGAATACACAAGACCTGAGAAATCGGCTTAAATGGCTAGAATCTAATCCTGGTTACAAATATAATTGAAGTGTTATAAGCTATATGTTTGTTTTTAGAGTCTTTCACGATATTTTCAGTTCACTTTCCACTATATTTATACTTAATACCACACAGTGTTGAAAAATTTTAATTTTAATCTTTTCTCTAAACATTACAATCTTTGTTTAGTCATTAATAACAAACATTAATTAACTTTTCTCAGTAATTGTCATTATGTTTACTAATGTCTTTTGGATTTGTCTCAAACGTGTTATCATCTGCTGTTTGTCTTGCTTTTCACTGTTATTTGTTTGGATGAAATTTTGTGGCGCCATCCCGTTTATGTTGACACAAAACTGTAACATATTCCAATGAAATGGAAAGCAAGTTCTTCATAAAAGTTGCCCCAAAAGGTACAAAATTGTAGGTAGGTCTTTGGAACCAGTGTAGTTGTTGAGTGTACTCAGAAAGAGTAGACACTGATAGTGTTTTCAGAAAAAGCATACGAACAAATGTCTTTACTGCACATATGGCCATTTACAATAATTATGTAAATATAAAAACATTTATATATATAAATATATTTGTATGGCTGGGTGTCAGTTAGTACGTGATGACTCTGGTTTGGGCGTGTGTCCGAATTCAAGTTCAAGTGAAGTTTTGTAGTAAATTAAAATTAAATATGTGTACTGAATATTAAAGCGCGTCCTACCGCTATTATAAGTTGTTGGTAATGTAGGAAATTATGAAAAGCAGCCGGGCGCTAAAAGTATTTTGAGGGATCTCTTAGAAAAATCTATGGATTACGTTGCAAATATACAATATTAAAGTACACAAGTACGCACCGAGTTTAATTTGCACCGATTGCTTTCTTGGCTTGTAATTTCGGGCAGTGCTATAATCAAACAAGCTCCACAACACATACCTCACCTCGAATCAGTTCTCTAAATATCGCATTTATTGAAAACACCACGAATTATATTCGGTAATTCGCACGCGTCGAAACCATAAACAATTGCTTTTATGAAAAAAGAAATCTAACCATTAAATAATCCTTAGTCAATGTTTTTTTCAGAGAAAAGTTTGCGTAGCTTTTTAATATAACGATAAAGAAGCGATTCTGATATTACGGAGGATATACGATAATGGATACAGCGTCTACCCTTACATCATCAGAATCGATGCAAATACTGATGGTTTGAAATTGTTGTTTCTTGCTGAAACAATGGAACCCAGACACCGTATATGTTTCTGCTCTTACTTTTTTATATTTATCACACAAATCGTTTTGTACAAACCTGAAAACTCAAGGTTTTTTACTAACACGAGTCAATATCAGCATACAGCTTTCAAAATCTTTCCATAGGTTTCGGACTATTGTATTTTCCTAAATCGAGCACAATGTCACTCAAACCATAATTAAGGTTTAAGTAAGGCCGCTTGCGATTTTTATGTAACATCTCTTTTCCAACCCATCAAATATATTGCTGGATAGATCAACGGATATCCTCAAACAATTAGAGGTGTTAACAATCACTTTCTTTGATTCTTTCTTTCTCTGATGTTCAAGCGAGTATACTATTGCCATTAACCGAAGCTTATAGATGAATCAAATGGCACGCGTTGTTGAGGAACTTCCGGCTATCAACACAAGATTTGTAGCTCTAAAGACTTCCCGATAAATAAGATTCCAAAATTAGTATGTACAATTTTTTAAGATCTTGTCGCAGATTTGGAGTTGAACACACATAATTTCAAACAAATTATTATCATATAATAAGTTAAATAATAATAAAATAATAATTTAAGTCGCCAACTCAAACAGCTATTATTATTATTTTACTGATAGAGGGTATGGTTCAAAGAGAGAATTATATAAAGTCAGAATATAATATAGTGCTTCTCCAAAGAGCAGATCATATGATTGTCATGATCATGGATAGGTCTCTACTTTCTCGTTTTTTCGCCACTTAACCTTTCTGCGTACAACTAGAAGTCTAGAAGAAGAGCTTTTAAATACAACCAGCAAAAAATAGGTCTCTACTTAGGGCACAACAGATCTTAGGTCGCAGTGCATACCTCATTCCTTATCTATCTAGGTCTCTACACTGTCTTCTTTTCTACACTTAACGTCACTTCGTACAACTGGAAGCCTACCTTCATAGACTTTCAAGCATTGGTAATTTAAGATATTCAATTCGGATGATACTCACCCACACAATCACATGTTCACCTATTGCAAATATGCGCATCTGGAAAAACCACTTGTTCTCATTTAACAAATGTTGCAAGTCTCACGCATCATTTCATTATGAATGAAAGTAAAAGTAGGCAAGGAAGAGTGCAACGAAGCAAAGCTAATGAACTTTTTTCATTAGTCAAGCGATGAGACGAACGGCAGTTACACACACACATGTAAACATACAAGCATATATTTATGTATATTATACATATATACACGCTTACAGATATATCCAAGAGGGGTGTGTGTGTATTTGTAGGATTAAAGAAGGACTACGGATATTCATTAGTATAAGACACTTGTGGCAAAAACAATAGCAACATGTTTTTTTTTGTTGCAATGTGCTATATGTGTATGTTGTAGAAACCCGCTGTGACTTGTACGCAATATTGCCGTATAGTGGTCAAACAAAAATCAATAATTATGAGACAATGTTTAATAAAAACAGACAAAAGCACACACAAACTCATAGACATACACACATAAATACAAAAACAATTTTGTCCAGTCATTGAGAGTGGACATTGACAACAGCTGATAATGATAGCGGCAATGTGGCAGGACGACAATGCTAAAGTCTATTAAGCAAAGGGAAAGCATGATGAACTCACATATATGATGTTGATGTATGTGTGTATATAAAATTTATATGATCCTAATACTTGTTACATACGCAAATGGCTGGCTACTTTATCTTATAATTCTACATATATAGAAACAGTCTTAGCATGGGCTTAACTTTGTGCGACCAAACTCGAAAATCATTAAGTATACTTGCATTAATAAAGAGAAACTCACACACATGCACACATACTCTTATACATATTTATTCTTAATACCCATTAGCTATGCTTTCGTTTGTAATTAATATTCATTGACCTCATGGGTCAATATGAAATTCGGCAGCTGTTTTATGTGGAAAGATTTCGATATTTTATGAAAATTTCAGAGTCATCTGAAAATTTAGTCTTCCATATAGAGCAATTATATGTAGGAAATTCAGAAGAGTCTCTGATAGACCTTCAACAACTTAGGCTCTAGGACAATGGAATACTTAAAAAAATATTTTATACTTGTATGGACCGAATACATTATTACAGTCATAATCATCTCTAATAAACCACTGCAAAACGCTTGCTTGGCG